ACGTGGAGAGGCTGAACGCAAGGTGACAGATGTAGCTCTGCTGGGACGTCTGGATGGATCCCTCGAAGTCGAATGTCGTCTCCTGTGTGACGAACGTGGTCGAGAGGAGCGATGTGTTCGTTTGGGTGATTTGGCTCGACGAGGACTGCGTGGAACAGAGATTGGACGTTTGTCCGGTGCCCCACGGTGCCGGTGGGAGCGAGAGCGAGAGCGACGAGGAGTATGTTGTGGTGGTGGTGGAACATCATCAGGTGGAGGAGGATGACTTGGAATAGGTGGAGGGGCTTGAATTGGTGGTTGAACAGGAGTAGGAGGTTGGCTCATGTGGCGCTCTTGGTTCTTGTCCACAAACGCTTGCATGCTGGATTCAACCGTGTTCTTCATCTGCTGCATCATCTCTTCAGCGTTGAAGGGCACACTGGATCCCGGTGGTGTGGATTGAGGTGCCACCGGTGTTGGTGGTTCAGGCACTGTTGGTGCGGGCTGAGCTGGACGTGGATTGAACGTGGATTGAACGTGGATTGGTGGAATGGAAGAAGTTGTTGGAGGTGCTGGATATGAGATTGAGCCTGTGACGCAAGTTGTTGATTCAGGATGGTATTTTGCTCTCTGAGAGCCGCCAGTTGTGCCTGAGTCTGAGCTTGAGACTGAGCCTGTGACTGTTGGTTCATAAGATCACCGCCACAAAATTGACTTTGAAGTCCCATCGTCTGCGGGTTCCAGAAGGTCCACATGTTGTCGGGAACGGCAGGATACCGTCCAGGAAACATGGCAGCACTGTCAGGTTTGTGAACGACAAAATTAGTTCAAAAAGATAAAATGCATCCGCAACGCATGCAAAGTTCATGATAAGGCTCAAAGGCCCTCGGCATTCATTTCACGACCCTCTGGACAGCTTACGTGTTCAACCCCTGAATTACGTGCGCAATTTCAACCTCACCGAGAAGCCAAAAAAGAAGTGACCACACCTGAAAACATGTCCTGAAGCCTCCACATGGTTCCATGTCATGTTGCAAACTGTCGAGCTCCGTACTCTCTTGGGCAAAGTTGGAAAAAGAAGGTTTCCACAGCTTTCAGCAGGCTACCAGGGGCAGGATGTCAGTCGCTCCAAATGGTGAGTGCTCAAGCAGCAGCCCATTGTTCAACACAACGACCGTCAAAGTGAAACCTGAAAGGTGAACGGCTGTTTCACAATACTTAAACGAATTACTAATTCAAAAGTGTAAATTCAGACATCGTTTATTTTGACCGTACAATCTCGCCTCGCACGGCCGGGCGGAGTGCTCAAACTGACCGGGGGGGACAGAAGGGGAGGGAACAGGGGGGTTGAAGAGAGGGGGGGGGAAGGAGAGGGGCGGCATGTGTGGCAGGTGTTGAGAGAGGCAGGAAAGGAGAGCCGGGTATTGAAACAGGATGACGAGGGAAGAAGAAGGTGAGAGGAGATGGGAGCGTGAGACGGGAGGGGTGAGCAGTACAGAAGAGGTTGGGGAGGGGAGGTGGGGGGGAGATGGTAGGGGGGGAGGAGGGGTGGAGAGGGGAGGGATAGGGGTGGATGTGAGGAGGAAGGGGAGGGTTACTTTCTTCGACTTATGTTCCGAAGGGCTCATACCACCTTGTCGGACAACGGTATGAGTGACACACTTGCTCAGAAACTCCTTATCGAATTACTGATGTGGAATGCATCGCACGTGCAAAAAACACTTCAGTTACACCTGACAGGAATGGGTTGATGATTGGAAGTGAGAAAATGTGCGAAGGAAATCTTTCTACGTCCTTGCTCGAAGGATTTACCAGTTCTGAGGTTTGAAAAACGACATGCCGGTTCTTGGCTTGGCCGGTTGCCATTGACAACGAAATGAGAAATGGCAGGTACGTGACAAAGGCGTCCCTTCGTCATATCACAGCAAATGATGAAGCGTCTTCGTTGAGTGGTGGCTTCATCATTGCTCACCACTCCCCTGCGTAAACATTGAAAAACAAATTCATGAAGAGTTGAATCAAGCAAGTAGTGCACCAAAACCGGATAGAAGTTTTACATCTATTCAGATGGTCCACACACACATTTTGTTCAACATCCACTCAACTTCATACCCATTCAAACCCTCATCCGCTAAGCATCAAATGCATTCAGCCACACATCCTGCCAACATCAGCCATTCGGCATCACAGTCATTCACCTTCAGACCCATTTAATTTCCCATGGGCTCTCCACATGTCACGGCTCTTGATTCAACCCCAAGCACATACATTCACATTCCCCTCAACTTTGCATCCCTCAACCTCACATCCACGCAGGCGTGGTACTTGGCGACATCGACGTGCATTCTGCGTGGCAGGCGTGGCACTTATGGCACTGGTCTGGCTCTGGTGGCCCGCTTGGTTCCCGTTTGGCACCGTTGTCGCTGCAGCTGTTTGTGCGGCAGGCGTGGCATTTGGCGACATTGACCTTCACTTTCTGTGGCAGGCATGGCGCTTGGTGACATCGACCTGCGCTTTGCGGCAGGCGTGGCACTTGGCGACATCGACGTGCATTCTGCGTGGCAGGCGTGGCACTTGTGGCACTGGTCTGGCTCTGGTGGCGCGTTTGGTTCCCGTTTGGCCCCGTTGTCGCTGCAGCTGTTTGTGTGGCCGGCGTGGCCCTTGGCGACATCGACCTTCACTTTCTGTGGACCTTCACTTTCTGTGGCAGGCGTGGCGCTTGGCGACATCGACGTGCATTCTGTGGGGCAGGAAGAACACGCAGCAGAACTGGTGACAATTCCCAACAGAACCGAAATTACGGTCAAGGAAAAGGAGCTGCGTGGCTGAATCGTGGCTATCAACAGCAACAACAAAATTAACAGGATTAGCAGCAGAATTACCCACAGAGACAATACCGGAACCGACAACACGGTCAGGGTTATTATCAGCAACCATATTATCAGTACAACCAAAAAATACCACTGTCGAGTACATGCCTGGTTATCAAGTGCTTTATGACCGCTGGCACAGAAATGCAGAGGGCACGTGGATTGACCTGATCCCGCAATTTCCTTGGGACTCGATCTATTACGATCAAAACCGTCCTGGCAGAGAAGAAACAACGAACTGTATCTCTACGGATACACCTTTCCGATGGGACTCTGAGAACCAAGGACATTAGCCAATAAGACGGCAATATTCAGCATTACATTCTTGAGACTTACAGGCCGTAATTACGGCTTATAGAGTAGACTTGCATTTTGTCTTAGGACCAAGTTTCACAGCAGAGCATAGGCCCTGGCTGAGCGTTTCTTATGCAAGAGCAAAAAAATTGCATGTTACGACACGAAGAAATTTGTGTCTGTTTGTAATCTATTTGGGGACGTGTCTACACAATGCATTTACAGTTTGCATACCATGTGACATGTTCGCTAAAATTCATGTGTGCCACTGCGCCACTCCGTGGCTCAAGACTTGCTAGCATAGCTGCAAAAAAAGGTGCCGCGATCCGACACTGCAAGTGTTCTTAGCTTCTAGCTTAGGTCCAGGGCCCCTAAATACCGGGGAATTCTGCTTCACCCCCCGTCCCGAGCCCCACGGTTGTTGGCGCGCGCCTTTTGAACTAACCCGCGCAACTTCTAACTAACGGTGCGCAACTTCTAACTAACGCGCGCAGCTTCTAACTAGCATCCAACAAGTTCTGACTAACGGTGCGCAACTTCGAACTAACGCGCAACTTCTAATTAGTTCGCCGCGCAACAATTTCTGACTAACGGTGTGCAACTTCATGACGCGCGGCAAATTCTAAACGGCAAAAACTGCGGGTCCATGAACAGCCCCGGAAGCTAGAGCAAGCACCGCGCCATAACGACAGCGATCCAACGTGCGCAAAGTGCCGAGAAGGTTGCGGGAGCGATTTCCAAATGAGCACAGCGCTGCAGCGAGAGCAATCCAACGTGCGCAAGGTGATGCCAGCAATATCAAAACGAGCACCGCGTGCCACGGCAAGATTCGGACGTCACGGCCCAGTACGATTTCTGATTGTTAGCATCTTTTATAACAGCATTGCGCTTGCAACGATAAAATGAAGCCGAGCATCCGAAGTCTTGCGCCTGCCACGCCACATGATCTCAACATGACCATTTGAAAACGACGACAGGTCACAAACCAAGCTCTAGATTTTCCAAATTGCGCTTGTGCTTGCCAGAAAAATGGACATCGGAAGCACATGGAAGCACCCCTTGTTTTGGTCCACGGTTGCCAATGCGTCAGCAACGTGCACGGATTCTTGTGCCTGCCATGTGGATGACAACGCGTCCAAAGTTTGGCGCCGCCCGGCAAAAACAATTTCCGAACTTCCGAACTTGCCAATCACCTTCGCTTGCCAAGCAAAAAGCACATGGGTCAAAAAACGGATACAGCACGCAGGCGGGAGAATGCCCCCGCAAGAGAGAGCTTTCTACGAGATGTTCCTCGAAAACGAAAGACCGAGGAACTTTTGTGCTGGAAGGGCCGACACACCGGCGACCACCTTTGATCCACCCAACCTTAGCTAGTACCTAGGTGTGAACACCTTGCTTGGGGAAATGAAGCAAGTAATTAAGATTGGGTAACTCAAAGAACAGCAGAGTAGGGAAGAAAGGCCTAGCAGAGGAAGAGTAGGAAGGCCCAGTACAAAGTAGGAAGAAGTAGCAGAGAAGTAACGACGAAGTGCAGAAGAGCAAAGTAGAGTAGAGACACGTAGAGGGGAAGTAGAGGGAGTAAAGAAAGCCAGAGGGGAAGAGAGGAGCTGCCAAATTGCGAATGGCACAATGCGGGTCCCTCAGAAGGTTTGGCTGGATTGAAAATGAGGACCAGAAGCAGAGTATGGCCCCCATAACAACAATGTCCGCATCAAGCATTTCTCACCGGGCGACAGCACGCTGCGTGCTGGCAATCAAACACCACCTGAATTCCTATAGCGCTCGCGTTCCGAAACGAATGCGCGTTTTGAATTGGAAATTTCCGCGGCCCGCCTTGCGCTTCCTGCTTACCAAAGGATGCTGGGGGCCAAGCTTGTCCAGCTTCAGTCAGGCCAAAGCGAGGACCGAGATGAAGTGATCACTGTGGGGAGCATAGCATGTGTTTTTTGCAACAGCTTGATGTTCGTATTGCATTTGTTTGCAAGGTTGATGATGCAGAGCCGCCGCTGTCTCCTGGCTGGATTTGAGCGTGTGGGTGTTAAATGGCTTGGCAACTCTGCACGCGTTTGTCCTTCTTTGCCTTCATGTAAACCAACGCGTGCTATGCAAGAGTTTGTATTTGATCGCTTGGAAACCACTCCGTGACAGCAAAACCTTGCAAAATTCTGCAGCACGAGGAAAGCGAAGTCACTGCAGTTGGTGGGCTGGCTTGTTGCCAACTCCTTGGGTCTGGGTGGCACACGCGAATCTTGCAAGAGCGATCAACTGACAGGAACACGAGATGACAGAACGCGGGCAACAATCAGCTTTGCAGTCCTTTGTTGCGAATTGCTTGTTCTTGCTGGCGCCTTTCTTGCTTCAGGGGACGCGGCTCCCTATGGTGCCCCTTGACTTACCGAAGGCTTGACGTGCTCCCAGTCCGGCCCACGCGCAGAAACTAAAATAAATTGTTCTGAATGAGCTACAGGCTTGACCAGAGAGGGAAAAAAAACCCAAACATTTTGCTTTGGCAAAACCTAGCGACTTGGGAGCCGGATAAACGCTTCGAAGTTGGGGATTGTCAGGACCTATGCTGGCAGCCTTCGAAACTCAAAAGCAAACAGCTTCATTGTCGCCAAGTCCAGCGTCCGGATCTTTGCAGCGAAGCAGCCAAAGAGTCTCTCTTTGCCTTGTTTCATGTCGCTTTTTCGACTTTTGAGCTTTTTCGTCACATGCTTGATGCTTTGTTCAGGAACCCCTGGGCCTGGGGTGGTGGATGTCGAAGGCTTGGGCAAGACCAGAGAAAGAGTGGGGTTTGGGCGGTCGGGGGATCGCTTGGAGCGCCGAAAAGTGGATCGCTTAGAGCGCCGGAAAGTGGATCGCTTGGAACGCCGAAAAGTGACATAAGAGATACATAGCGCTAGAGTTGCATATATACACAGGGGCATATAGACACATAAATGGGTGCATTCATTTGTCGCTGAAGCACGCAGGTAGTCAGATGGGCAGATGCACGCAGATATACATTCCACGTGATCCGCTTTTCGGTGCTGGAAGGGCATCATACAACGTATCAGGAACATCTTGCACGATACTTGACGAAGATATGACAACGTATCAGGAAAATCTGGCAAGTTACTTGAAGAAGAGCTTACAACATATCAGGAACGTCTTGCAAGTTACTTGAAGAAGATGTTACAACGTATCAGGAACATCCGGCAAGTTACTTGAAGATAGGAACGTCTTGCATGTTACTTGAAGAAGTTGTTCCAACGTATCAGGAAGGTCTTGCAAGTTACTTGAAGAAGATGTTACAACGTATCAGGAACGTTTTGAAAGTTACTTGAAGGAGATGTTACAACGTATCAGGAACGTCTTGCAAGTTACTTGACGAAGATGTTACAACGTGTCAGGATCGTCTTGAAAGTTACTTGCCATCCAAGGCAAACCTGCGTTGAACAGGTGTACAACAAGGATGTCGCGCAGATGAGAAGTGAAAATGAGAGACAGCTAGCCTGAGCACCTTCAACATGCATATCCTTGAGACGTCTATGACAGTATTACATACATATATATATATATTAATTGTTTTTTAAATTGATTTATTTCTGTATTTCCCATATTTCATCACACTGGTGTGCGACTAAAGGTTTCATTCCCTGGTGCTCTCATGTAATCCACCATGCTGGTCCCCTAAACCCACTCCGTGTCCCAGCCCCGTGTCCCCACTTGTCCCCTAAACCCACCCCATGTCCCAGCCCGTGTCCCCACTTGTCCCCTAAACCCACCCCATGTCCCACTCTCGCATCCCCAAGAGGTACCCCAAAGGTCTCATTCCACCGCCGGTCCCCAATAAATCCACCCCATGTCCCAGCCCCATGCCCCCAATTGTCCCACCCCATGTTCCCCCCCGTGTCCCCAAGTGTTACCCTAAAGGTCTCAGTCTCTGGTGCTCTAAGTGACCCACTTTTTTGGTGCTCTAAGTGATCCCATGGTGCTCTAAGTGGTCCAGTGCTCTAAGTGATCCACTTTCCGGTGCTCTAAGTGATCCCTTAATCGGTTTGGGCAGATGCGAATTCGCGATAGCTTCGCTGAGCATGCTTGGTGCGGCTGATCACACAAGTATGGCCAAAGCTAACCAGGATTTGGTTGTAGTAGGTTTATGCCCAGGCCCAGGCCTTGATCAATGAAAAGCAGCAGGGACTTCGAAGCTGCAAAAGGAGCTGCATGAATTGAGGGTGTCCCCCACAGTTGCTCGCATCATTTGCGGGAGGTGAGACGGCAGCTTTGCAAAGAGATCCAGTGGAGAATGGCGCAGAGGCTTCTTTGGCCCAACTGTAAGTTGTCAGTTGGTGGGGCAGTAGCTGGCTCAGCAGATTTCAAGATTGCTTGAGAAACTTGGATGGGAGTGTGGAGTGGAAAGTGTGGAGTTTGGAGTGTGAAGTGTACACTGTGAAGTGTGGGGCGTGGAGAGTGTGGAGTGTGGAGTGGAGGGTGTGGAGTGTGGAGTGTGGAGTGTGGAGTGTGGAGTGTGGAGTGTGGAGTGGAGAGTGCAGAGTGCAGAGTGGAGAGTGCAGGGTGGAGAGTGGAGTGGGGAGTGGGGAGTGGGGAGTGTGAAGTGTGGACTGTGAGGCGTGGAGCGCGGAGAATGTGAACAATGGAGTGGGGCATGCGGAGTGGTGATTGAGTGGCGGGCATAGAGCGTAGGAGTATGGAGTGTGGAGCGGGGGGATGTGGAGTGTGGAGCGGAGAGTGCGGAGTGTAGACTGTGAAGTGTTAAGCGTAGAGCGCGGGGTGTAGACTGTGAAGTGTGGAGTGGGAAGAGGTGAGGGATTGAAGCGGTGAAGTCGTGAGGGGACTGTGGGGTGTGAAGTGTAGACCTAGACTGGAGTGTGGAGGGTGGAGTGTAGACTGCGTAGACTGTGAAGTGTGAAGTGTAATTAAAATGTGGAGTGGGGAGTGTGGAGCGTGGAGTGGGGATTGCGAATGTGGAGAGTGGAGAGCGTGGAGCGTGGAGTGGGGAGTGGAGTGTTTGGAGTCTGGCGTGGAGTGGGGAGCGGGGAGTTTGGAGTAGAGCGGGGAGTGGGGAGTGCGGAGTGGAATGTGGAGACTGGAGTGTGGAGTGCGGAGATGTGGAGACTGGAGTTTGGAGCGTGGAGCGGGAACTGTGGAGTGTGGAGGTGGAGCATGGAGAGTGTAGAATGTAGAGTGTGAAGTTTGAAGTGCAGAATGTGGAGTGGAGCAGGAAGTAGACCGTTAAGCTTGACGAGTAGGCTGTAGGGTGGGGAGGGGGGAGTGTGAGCGTGGAGTGAAGCATGGGACATGTATGTGACACAGGTTCCCCTTTGAGGTTGACATGTTTTTGCAGTCATTCAAAAGACGCATCCGGTCTCAGAATTCTTTGTTTTTTTTGGGTCAAGTTTTACATTTTTGGAGGTTTGGTGCCTGAACTGGCAAACCTCCTTGGACGAAACCCGCAGAAACACGACCATTTGTATTGGTCGATTGATTATTACCAAAATTAAAAACATTGAATTCACAGATTTGCATACTTTACATCCATACGTTTCTTAGAACCTAGGAAACAAACCTTGGTTCATTTTTCCTTTGGTGTATGAATGAGAAAATAATTTTGACATACTGTTCATGGGGGGGCGGATTACTTCGAACGTGTACATAATATGTCAAGAGCCAGGAAAATGCCCCATGATCGTTTGAGGGGGGGTAGTCTTTTGTATGGATCCAGAAAGATTTTATTTTTTGTCCTGTATCATGCTGCGTTTACATAGGCCAGACATCAGAAAATGATGTTTTTTCCAGTACTTTGTGGACAAAGGTTGCTGGGTTTGGGTTCGCCTGAAATGAGGTAACCCCACACATGCCTAGTCTACTTGGGCCAATAATGTCAGGGGCCGTACTGTGTTTTTTTTCGCGGCGCTCAAGTTCAGAAATTACAAAAGTTGTCGTTACAACTAAATGTTTGCCACCATGAAATGCTCCTAATGCTGAAGATACATGTGTCCCTGCAAAGAGAAACGAATGCATGTGGACAAAGAAACAAACGCATGTATTCAGCCCCCACCAAAAAGAGTTGCTTGTCAGAAAAACAATCCACGGGGCGGGACCTTTTTTGGGCTAATTTATTGCGGTTGATTTGCAAAGTCCTGGCGCACGCAAAAAAAAATCATCACAGGCCACTCTTCAGTTTGTAATTTGGCCACAGCGCAGTCCTTCATCCATAGATGGGCCAAATTGAAGAATTTTGTGTCAAGCCGTGCCCAAATTGAAAAACACGTGTTTTTTTCCTGAAGATACATTTGCCCCTGCAAAAGGAAGCAGTGTTCAGCTCTACCAACAAAAAAATCTTCAGACTCATGCATATGATTTGTTGCACAAGAGGAAACAAGCACAGTATGTTCAATGTAACAAACAAACAAACAAAGGTGACTTACAAAGGACGGGGCTACTTTAGTCAGCTTTTTTAGGTTACTTTAATGTCCCACCGGGGAAAAAAGAAAAGTCCGACAAGGTTGTAGCCCACAAAACTAACGGCAAACACTTTATGACGAGGACTGTTGTCTCGCATTGGGTTTGGCGATTCCTCCGCGCACCGAAAAAAAGATGCGACTGAGAATTGTGGTGGTGTCGATATATGTTGACTTTGGATGACTTGTTACCCCCAAGTGATCCAAATGTGTTTAGTTTCAAAAAGCACGACTTTACGATAATCGGTTGAATCTTGGGCACCTCATCTTCAGACAGCCCCCATTCGAATCTGTCGTAAGCTGGAAACAGGGTTCTTGTATCTGATCCTTGGAGCCCAGAAAATAGATCTGTTAACAGCATATGCTGAGGGTTGGTTATGCGAGTATTGTGTGGGAGTTGGAGCTCAGGAATTCATTTGGTACCAGAGGAGAAAAAGACAAGCCATGAAAAGAGAATGTTTTGTTTTTGGTGCCTTTTTGGAGGTTTGACGCCTGAACTGGCAAACCTCATTGGACAAAAGCAGCAAAAATTCAGGCGCATGAAAGAAAAGGCAAAAATGAAAACTAGACGACGGATGGCCCGAGAGCATAGAGGAGCATAGTGAGAGGTGTAAGTATGAAGATCTTATAGCATGAAGCCTACATATAGAAATATAAATATACGATGATGCCTAAAATGAAGAGACATGGTGCAGACATGTTGTGAAAAGTAGGTATATACATATGAAGAAGTTGAAGGAGAAATAAAAGAAAGTTTAAACGAAGGAGACACAGGAAGAAGAATTGAGACGGACATTTTTTAACATACAAGCATGCTAATACATACAAACATGCCGTACGCACATCTGTGCTTTTTACACAAAGACTGTATCACACGCATACGCTTTTACATACAGGCGTTATACACAAACACTTTTACACAAAGAGGCTTTTTCACACATAACCCTTTTAGACACAAAGTTTTTTTGACACACAGACTCCTTTACACATAAACCGTTTTATACACACCTTTACGTACAATCTCCTTTTACACACAAACACTTTTACACACAGATGCTTTTGCGCACAGACGCTGTTACACACAGACACGGTTACACACAAACACGTTGGCAGAAAGACGTTGCAGTGGACTGGCAGCTCACATGATTCTCACATGACTCTCACTAGGCCAATGCTACCTAGCAATGCTACCTAGCAATGTTACTTAGCAATGCTACTTAGCAATGCTACTTAGCAATGCTACTTAGCAATGCTACTTAGCAATGCTACTTAGCAATGCTACTTAGCAATGCTACTTAGCAATGCTACTTAGCAATGCTACTTAGCAATGCTACTTTGCAGCCCTACACATGAAGAAGTGGAGTGCCAATGGTGCAGTAGCCTTGTGAGCCAGCAACCTGCTGTGTTACCGTGTTACCTACACGTGGTTGACCCTTCTTCGTGTTGTCTAGTTAAACTGGAGCAAACGGATGGCTGCCTATTTAGCAATGCTACTTAGAAATGTTACTTAGAAATGCCACTTGGTACTGCCACTTCGCAATGCTTCTTAAGGATGCTACTTAGCAATTCTACATAGAAATGCTTCTTAGCAATGCCACTTAGGAATGCCACCTGGAACCTTTGTTTGCAACAGATTCTGCATGCGGAGAAGCAATCAGCGTTTTTATTTTGCCGGCACCGTTTCAAAAGAGTACACTGTACACGAGCAAGTCTCAGACAGACCTGATTGGCTTGTTCCGTGCTATCTCATGCCTGCATGCAGCTAATTGGTGATCAAAAGGAAGCATGTGCATCAACAAGTCTCATACAGATTCGGTTGACTTGTCTGCTGCAGCTTCATACTCAATTGCCAAAAAAGTGATGTGACATCATTTTGATGTCTGAGCATCCTGCAATTGTAATGTTCGCAGCGCAGAGCTATGCCCTGCCAGCTGAGAAATCACGCTGCCACTGGAGTCGATCTCTTTCTACCATCCACAACGCATCCACAACGCAGTCTCAATGTCGCCACGTTCGAAGGGAAGGTCGCTTCTTGAGCAAAATGGTGATAGCCTCTTCAGTGCTGTCGCCATATGCGGCGATGAGCCAAGCACACAAAACCGCAGCGCTGCGGTTGATACCACCAAAGCAATGAAACAAAATGGTCATGGGCCTCTCAGCAACGACAGCGGAGATGGACTGCTGCCACAATGCTCTTCCAACTGGAGAGGCATTCCTTTTGCAATTGCTTGTGCTTATCTGCACTGCGCTGGGGCTGCTTCACAGTGATGCCGTCCAGCTCACTATGCTCTTTTGCGGGCCATCGACCGGTGCTCGTCAGACTGTGCAGCCACCACTTGAAACTGACATTCCGGCAGCTGCATCGTTGCCGTCTCACCTTCTTACAGGGCAGCTGGCACGTTGGATCGTGCAGCGCTAGCTTTCCGTGTGTTTGTTGCCGGCCTCACGTCCACGAGATGTTTGAAGCAAATTCCATAGGGACCACGTTTGCCTAAGAGTGTGAGAAGCTGGTCCTTCGTAGAAACACCAGCCAAGTCACAAATATTTTCTTCGTCAACCAAAATTCCCTCGTCAACCAAAATTTTCGCGATCTCTCCAGTGCGATCTGCCAAACTCACTGTGGCCAAAACGGCAATCTCATCACCACGCTCCGTCTGACAACTGTGCGTGTCATGGCGCTTGCAGTGCCCTCTTCGTGCGGCAGTTTTTGCACGCCACATACATGGGATTGCCCAAGATTCCAGTGACCCAAACGCTGTTCAGCTGCACCTCAATGACGGCGTCCTGTGCCTCAAAAGAAGACATAGACAAAGCAGAAACAACACCAAAAGCATC